AAAAAAAAAAAAAAAAAAAAAAAAAAAAAATCCACACTCCCCTCCCTCAAAACAGGCTTCTATTTTGGATATTATTTTTAACTTATTTATACATTAAACATCTAATTAATCTCTTGAGATGCTGATTTATAGAAAAAAAGAGACAAGTTAATGATGGCTACCTTTGAAGTCAGGCTTAAAATAGTAACAATTCTTTGACTTTATTTAGCCTTTTTCAACTTCCATTGCATTTCCATACACATTATACTTTTTGTTCCCAAATCCTGTGCAGTAGATTTGAGCAGGTTTTATTTAGTTTACGTATGAGGAAAAAAATAAAAAGATACCTCAGAGAGGCTGATTTGCCTAAAGTTGCATGAATTTTTTTTTTTTGAGGTAAGATCTTGCTGTGTCACCCAGGTTAGAGAGCAGTGGTGCCATCATGACTCATTGCAGCCTTGGCCTCCTAGGCTCAAGCAATCCTCCTGCCTCAGCCTCCCAAGAGGTGTGTGCCACCATGTCCCAGCTAATTTTTAAAAATTTTTGTAGAGATGGAATCTTGCTATGTTGCTCAGGCTGTTCTCAAACTCCTGGGCTCAAGCTATCCTTTCACTTTAGCCTCCCAAAGTGCCATGATTTCAGGCATGAGACACTGCACCTGGCCTAGTTGCATGATTTGCATGAGCTGAAACACAGTACCCTGGTGCTTTCAGTATTAGAGTTTTCATACTTTCTAATTTTACCTCCCTAACCTTCAGCCCCCGCTCTCTCTCTTACTCTAATATCTCACAATCAATTATTTTTTTGCTGTTTATATGTCTTCTAAGGGAAATGACAATTTTAACTTTGGTGTAATATTTATTGCACCTATCTACTTAAATTTTTTTTAATGTACAAAAATTGCATTAAAACATCAATATGCAATTATTTTCCCACCACTCAAAAATTTTAATATGTATTGAAGATTTTGGCAAAAAAATATGCAAAAGACAAGAAATATAAAAATAACTTACAACAAATTTCTAAAATCCCTCATATATTAAAATTGGTAAGACAAAAATATGATTTATAATACATGTTTGCCATTGTGTTATATATAAGAAAATAGTACTCATACTAAATTCAACCTACTTATCAAAATTCTTAATATAAGAATGAAAATATTCAAATGGTTATAAATAGACAGGTATTAAAAAGTTTCTTTTGGACAACATTCTTTGGTGCTGATAAAACTGCATGTTATTATCTATCGTAAAGTCTTTTGAGACTTTACTACATATCTAGTTACAACTGGAAATAAAAAAATATAAATTGGATATGACTATAGAAAGTAGTTATAGGGTATTTTGATTTCATGGTGCTCAAATGTTTATGGACAAGTTTTACTTATTAAATTTTGAAATAACTACCTATTCTTTGGTATTTCTTATGTATGTTCCAGAAATTAGAAAAAAGTTACCTCCATAGGCAGAGAATTCAACTGTGAGTTGACAATTATTTACGATTGTCTTAACTGGCTGTTTCACAACATTATGGAGCTAAGAAAGGATGAAAGCTTACCACTGCTTGGATACCAGCTTGATAAGCAGCTTGGAATGTCAAATATATAACAAGAAATGAAATATTCTACTTTAAAGGAACATGGTAAGTAAATGAATAACATGGACACAACTTAGTATAAGTTCTTTAACCTAATAAATTATTCATTTGCAAATATTACCAAAAGTAAAAAAAATTTATTTTATAGAGTGGTTGATTTTTGTAATACATCAAAAACTGTGATGTTATACACTTCCCTATTCTCACTGCTTATATCAGTGGTTGAAGTTTCTCCCAAATAATTTAGTTTACATTTAAAGTGGCAATACAGATTTTACTTAATGGACTTAAGTTATAATTAGAAACCAGTTTTATATACAGAAAATCCATAAATATAGAACTTTTATTCCTATTTTATCCTTAGGCTATGCAAAAGATGGACTAAAAATTTTTCATTTGGGTCTTTGTAATAAACATGTAAATACATATTTACAATGGAGATGCTTCCTGATAGAAAGTAAACAGAAGTAATTTTGGTCTTCACTAGAATCCATCATATCTATTTTTGAAGATGATGTAATACATCATGTTTACTCAAAATTTGATTCCTTTTATACACATAATTTAAATAATTACTCCACTTGTACCATAATGCTTCATTCTGTATTTAAATTTCCTTTAAGAAAGATTCCTTGATCCAGTAGTAGGGAACTCTGTTTCTGTACAGTTAATGTGAAATTTTATCCTTCTGGCAATGTCACAAATACTGAGTCATTTAATCTTCATTGTTCATACTCCAGAGGTAATTCTTGAGTTATCTCACATGATGTAAGTACCATCTTTGCAGTATTTCATGGACTCCATTTGTTTTGTCATAGCAAGAACATCATGAAATCCAGTACTTAGGCCAGACATATGTTGAAAGTATGCCTCCTTTTCCACTTGAATTGTTAAATTGTTTACTCCAGCATCTTTAAGTATTCCTGTAACCTGTTATAAAAATCCATACATTTTGAAGCATTTAGAGTAATGCATTTACTACATATGTCTTAATATGCTGTACATTGTTGATACGGGTTGAGTATCTTTAATCTGAAAATATGAAATCTGAGATGCTCTAAAATCTGAAACTTTTTGAGTGCCAAGATAGTGCTAAAAGGAAATGCTCATTGGAGCATTTTGGATTTGGATTTTCAGATTAGGGATGCTCAACTGGTAAGTGTAAGGCGAGTATTAAAAAAAAAAAAATCCCTTGGGCCGGGCGCGGTGGCTCACGCCTGTAATCCCAGCACTTTGGGAGGCCGAGACGGGC